TGAAAACAAATGGTCAATAGTTTCCAAAAAGCAAAGAAGACAAGGAAAGTAGAGGAAGAGAAAATGGATAAAGGAAACAGAACAAATATAATGTAAATAATGAGAATGCTGACACACTGAGAAATTTTTAATCAATGTCACGGTACAATTTGCATAAAAAATGCCAAATGAGAGCTTAATTTTCAGTGTAAAATTGCATCTAAAACACAATAAACTGTTTTAAACAAACCAAAAAAAGCAAAAGAAGAGTATTTGACATTTGAAATTGTTAATACTCAAGAAGAAAATACGAAAGAAAATTGTTGGAAAAAATGTATTCCATGTAATGTTCAGATGGAGAAGTGGAAATAAGGAAGGCTTTCAAGAATGGGTCTATAGGACTTTAACCCTCTTCTGGGCAGTCTTTGGCGTAACATTTCACATTCAGGCCATGAACTGGCCTCCCATGCTTTATAAAAGGGATGAAGGAGGTCAGAGTCATTATTTAAAATTGAAGTAAGATGCAATTTTCAGACTCTGTGAAAGTTAAATCACCATCTGCAGAAGTAACACAAATAACACACTGCACCAGAACATGAACAGCCTGAGATGCCAAAACATAGCATCTCTGGGAGACTTAGGAGTGAGTGTGAGCCCAGATACAGACCTTACGCTGGGGAGGGCAGAAGGCTTTGCTTGCAGGGATGCTCATGACTCTTGAGCACAAGTGAACAGTTCTTTAGTAAACAGAAGAAATGACCTCGTCTTCTTTTTTCCTTTATTTTCCAAGACGTGCCCCCATGACAGTATCTGTGAGGTCATTTTGCTGTTATTTCCATCTGTCTTCCCCATGACCATGCAGTGGTCTCCAGCAAATCCTCCATGTTATTGTGATCCCACTGTCTAGAATATGGGAGACGCTCACCAAAATTTCTCCATGTGAAGCAGTCATCTGGTCTGCCTTCTTCCACCTGCCAAGGGGTCACCATCTATCTACCTGGCCTCATCAAAAATTCAGATTCAGCCCCTCTGTGGTGAGCTCATGTTAAAATGTCTCATGCCCAACTCCCTGTTGCAAAAATGTGAATCTTTCTTTTCCTTAGACATTTATTCATAGAAATAGTTTTGGGAAAATTCAAAGATCTCTGATAGAGAAAGTTGGTAAAATGATAACATCATGAAGGCTCTTCAGATACCATCTTCCCTATTTCCCCAGTATCAATAATGAGGAACTTGAGCCCCAGGAGCTAAATATTTGTCCAAAGATGAACTACGGCTCTTTGAATCAGGAGCAGAAAAAACAGATTTGCAAGTTCATGGGAAACTGTGAGTGTGGTGAATATTAGCTCATGGTGGCCCCTTCTGAGCTCCCAGATTGAGGAGCCAAACTTCTCCCCAACACTATTCTCAGGGCTATGCTTCACTTCTGCTCTAGTGACTTCTCAATTCCACACGAAGGGAGACAGGGCACAAAGTTTATATCCCATAGACTGTAGCAGGAGCCACATGACCTCTCTTTCCAGAAAAAAAGTTCTTATAATTGTGCAGAACCTACTGAATTCTGCGAGTTACAAAAAATAGAAAATTGGATGTGATTCAAGAAAACAGTTCTAGGTGAGCACAAGGGTATCCTGAGGGTGAAAGATGTGGTGAGGGAGCTGTGGGGCCTGTGACCTCCCCTTCAAACCAGCACTCATGAGAGTTCGGCAATATGGACATTCTGTTCAGATCTTCATTGAGATTACGAATCATACAATAAAATCAGATTTTATATGGATATTGTTATAAATTGAATTTTGTTACCCCAAACGATATGCTGAAATCTTCTGTGCTTGTTACTGTTACCTTATTTGGATATAGGATCTGTCTTTGAATACGTTATCAGTTAGGTTAATGAGGTCATAATTGTGTAGGGTATACCCTAATCCTTTCTGAGTGATGTTTTATAACAGGAGAAAACAGAGACAAAGAAAAAAATCACACAGGAGGAGACAATATGCGAAGATGCTTTAAAAGCCAAGGAAAATCAATAAATGCTTGCGGGTAGCAGAAACTGGAAAAGAAAAGGAAGTTTCTTTTAGGGCAGATGGGACAAAGAGAGCACTTTGAATCCCTGATCTAAAGCTTTCAGAACTTCGAGAAAATACATTTCTGTATTTTAATTCCACACGTTTTCTGGTATTTTAGTATGATAGTGATGGGAATGTATGACCATTGTCAGTGATTATTTCCCTCACTGAATAAAAACCTATATAAATACTTCTGGGAGAGTGAGCATTCACTTGTGTTCCCCTATCATCCAGCATGCTGGATATTCTCATGGCCATTGCAAAGTTTAAAAAAACACCTGGGAGTGTGAGAGACATACCCAAGTTTATGTGATTCTCAAAGACTGACCTTTGAGGTGACCACTAATCTGTGGTATTTGGGTCACCAACTACAATACAACATGTGCTGCCCCAAAATCCTACCAAGAGGTGCTGAGTGACATGTTAGGATGAAGGAAGAGGGTGAGCTCTTCAGAGAATATACTGAGAGATGAAAGAAAAGGAGAGATCAACTTTTTCTCTATCATTGAGGGTTTCTCATGAAATCAGGGTTTACCTAGTCTTCAGCACAAGGATTCTTAATAAAGAGAGGGTTATCCCTGGGGATGGGGGTCAAACTTCTCCTTCTAATTTCTGAAACAAAACAGGGGACTGCCCTGGCCCTTCCCAGCTCTGTACCTCTGGTCTGTGACATGAAAATCACCTCTTCAACTTCTAGGTTGAATCTCAAAACCTGGTAAGAAACTCCATACTGTGGGCTGGATTCTCCAGGAACCACAGACCTTGTCCAGAAACAGTGAGTTTTCTGTGGATGTTCTTTGGATTGGTGGTTACTTCTCCTGTTAGTGTGAAGAGATTCAAAAAATGAGCTTATATGGATGAAGTATCTATTATTTGTCATCATCGATGATTTTCTCTGTCCCTAGTTGTCTTGTCCATAGGTGTAGGTGAAGGAGTCAGATGAAGGAGTGGTGAAGCCCCACAGACCCTCTCCTCACCTGTTGTCATGGTTAAGGTTGTATGTCAAACTGGCTGGGTCATGATTCTTAGTGGTTTGACACTTATGTTGTAGTTTGACAGTAATGTAATGAAGTAATCACCTCCATGATGAGATCTGCTATGAGCAGCCGAACAGTTGAAAGGGAGTATCTTTGGGGGTGCAGCCTTTATCCAATATGTATGGACTTTCTGGCAGACCTCACTGGCTTTTGCTCTCGTCTGAATCTTGCATTCAGTTTATCATCTGACCTACAGTTCTCGAGACTTGAGCCAGTAGCCTGTTGTCTTACCTGCAGATCTTGGATTCATCAGCCTCTACAGCCTGTGAGCCTGCCTTCTGCTGTCTAACCTGCTGATCTTCAGTTTGTCAACCTCTGCAGCTAAGATACCTCTGCTGTCTCTGCTGACTCCATCAGTGATTATTGCTACAACTGCATCTACCAACACCCAGAGAATGGGTTGAAGTAGCTGTGATCCGTATGCTTTGATGGCAGAAAAGATTATGCCTCATCTCTGGAGTCAACACCTTAGCTCAAGAAGCACATCCACAAACCAGTTTTCCTTGAAGCTGAGCTCCATGACTGTTGAGGACACAGCCTTGTAATTGTGCTACAGACACAGAGAGACCAGAAACAAACCTCCCTGCAATAATGAGGTTGGTCTAGAGGGGGTGCTTGGTGCACACAGAGAAGAGAGGCTCAGTCTATAGGGCAAGTACAGTGGGGAACACTGGGGAACAAGTGGCTTCCTTTCAGTATCTAGAATTTCTTTTCCTTCCAAAGCATAAAATTTCTTCCAAGAAAACACTCCGGATTATTTATTACAAAACTCTATAGATATTGTGATAGTTATTCATTTATACATTGTATTCATACACAAATTTGTATGTAAACATGCATACATTATATACACATATAATATTTGTTTCACAGATAGTTATCACTCATATTTGTATAATATCTATCCTGGATGACTATTTTGGACTGAAGGAAAATGAAAACACAGCATACCAAAATATATGGGTTTCAGCTATAGCAGTACTTAGCAGGGGATTCATAGCACTATGCACCTATACTACATAGAAAAAAAAAGTATTACATTAATTATCTTATGTTGTATCTAAAAATACTAGAAAAAGAAGAACATATTATATGAAAAGTTAGCAGGAAAGAACAAGATACAAATATAAGAACTTACATAAATGAAACAGAAAGAACATAATAAATAAACCAATTAAACAAAAACTGATCCTTTTAGAAAATTAGTTAAATTGATTAAGATCCAATTTGCTTGATCAGCACAAAAAAAGAGAGGACAAGATACTCCAATGTCAGAAAGTATAGAGGAAACATTATAGTGATTGAATATTAAAAGGATAGAACATAAATATTTTATAAACAACTTCATACCAATAATTTAACAACTTAGATGAAATAGGAAAGTTTCTTGGAAGACAAAAATCAATAATGATCACACATAAGAACTGATAACCAGAACCTTCCACTACTACTGAATATGAGAAGTAACTATGTTGTGCAGATTCGTGATAATGAAGGAGCAGAGAAAATATTTTCTGAGCTCCCATACAACAAAGGTTAATTTGTATGTAAAATAGTGTTTGTAAATTACAATCTTTAAAAAAGTGATAGTATCTAACAACAACCACAGCAATGTCTCTATAACATGCAGATAAATAACCCTTATAAAAACTCCTTTCTCATGTAAGGGTGCTTGTCTATCTCTGAGCACAGGGTGGACTCCTTCCCAGGGACTCCACTCCTCTGTTCCTAAAAGAAGGAGGACATGCAAATGCAGTACTCTGCTGATAAACCCCTCACAGCCCCTGTCACTTTAGCTCTGGGAAAGTACCCACAGTCCCTGGGGTCTTTTCTGTTTCCATTTGTGCCCAAGAGCTAACGCAGAGGACATATCCTGAAGTTTGGGCTGGGCTTTCACTATGGCCATTTTACATGGTAATATTTTGGATAAGTTTGAGACCCTGTTGTGTGTTTAGGTGTTTGTACCTGTGTATTTGTATGCATATGTGATCTAAGCACAGTGTCTTTATGTTTGCAGGGGTCCAGTGTGAAGTGCAGCTGGTGGAGTCTGGGGGAGATGTGAGAAATCCTGGGAGGTCTCTGAGACTCCCCTGTGAGGGCTTTGGATTCATCTTTAGTGACTACTATGTACACTAAATCTGCCAGACTGCAGGAAAGATACTGGATTGGGAGGTTTGATTAGAAACAAAGCTAAAGGTCACACAACATAATATTCAAATTCTGTGAAAGGCAGATTCACCATCTCAAGAAATGATTCCAAAAGCATTGCCCATCTGCAAATGTGCTGTTTGAAAGATGAAGACATAAGCTTGTATTATTGAGCAACAGGCACAGTGAGAGGAAGACAGTGTGAGCCCAGACACAAAGACTCTCTGCAGTGAATGTAATGGACTACAGGGGGAACTCAACACCCATCAAGCCTATGTACAAACTCCAGGAGAAGATCTAGGAGTGGGGAGGTGTTTCCTGTCAGGAGCTGTGGTTTTTCTTTCATCTGAGCAGGAGAAATACTAAGTTCATTTCTTCAAGACCTGGAGCTTCTAAGCCTTATGGGTTGTGATATTTTATTTTATTTATTTTGTTTCTTTAAAATCTTGTAATAATGATAAAAATAAATCATATAATTTTTAAACAATCACTATACAGAAGAAAATGTGAAGAAATTTTCATTGGACACGTTTCTTCAGTCATGAGCTTGATTTCCGTTTTAGTTCTTGATTAGATCATCTGAGATGCTGGTCAGTGTTCCTCCATTTTGACATCTCTGGGAAGGATTTAGGACAAGCAGAAGTGGTTTCCAGGTGCGTTTCCATATGAACACGATTCTCTCGTCTTAGAATGTGTGATCTCTTCAGTAACACAAGGCTTTTCTTTGTTTATTGTTGTAGTTTAACTGAAAGTTTACACTTCAACTTAGTCTCTTACATGAAAATTTATACATACATTGTTATGTGACCCTTATTTCTCTCCCTATACTGTGAAAGCACACTCCTTTCCACCCCTGATTTCCATGTCCTTTCAACCAGCTCCCAACCCTCTCTGCCTTCTCATCCTACCCCTGGACAGAAGCTGCCCTTTTAGTCTCATACAGCTAATTGAGCTAAGAAGTACACTCTTCACGAGTATCATTTTATGTCCCACAGTCCACTCCAGTCTTTGTCTGAAGAGTTTACCTCGGAAATTGTTTTAGTTCTGGGCTGATAGAGAATCCAGGGGCCATGCTTTCCGGGGTTCCTCCAGTCTAAGACACACCATTAATTCTGGTCTTTTTACTAGAATTTGAGTTCTCCATCCCACCTTTCTCCTGCTCCATCAGGGACTCTGCTATGTTCCCTGTCAGGGCAGTCATTGTTGGTAGCTGGGCAGCATCTAGTTCTTCTGGTCTCAGGCTGATGAAGACTCTGGTTTATGTGGCACTCTCTGTCTCTTTGGCTAATGCTTTCCTTGTGTCTTTGGTGTTCTTCATTTTCCTTTACACCAGGTGGTTGTGACCAATGGTTGCATCTAAGATGGCCGCTTGCAAGCTTTTAGGACCCCAGAAGCCACTTACCAAGCTAGGATGAAGAACATTTTCTTAATAAACTTTGTTATGCCAATTGACCTAGATGTCCCCTGAAAGCATGATCCCCAGACCCCTGCCCCTGCTACTCTGTCCTTCGAAGCATTTTCTTGTACTCAGGAAACTTCTTAGCTTTTGTGTAGTCCAGTTGTGCTGACTTCTGCTATAATGTGTGTTGTCCTTCAATTCACCTAATTCTTGTCTACTATCTACTTAGTGAATAACATTTTCCCTCCCTCTCCAAGATCATAAACATCAAAGAATGTTTTTTTCTTCCTGTATTTAAACCTTTTCTTGAGTTCTTGTAACAGTGGTCTTATAAAATATTTGTCCTGTGACTGATTAAATTCACTCAGCATAATGACCTCCACATTCCTGCATGTTATGTTTCACAGATTCATCCTTGCTCTTTATCATTGCTTAGTATTCCATTGTGTCGATATACTTTAATTTGTTTATCCATTCATCTGTTGTTGGGCACCTAGGTTGTTTCCATCTTTTTACTACTGTGAACAGTGCTACACTGAACATGGGTGTGCATATATCTGTTCGTGTGACTCCTCTTATTTCTCTGGCATATATTGCAAGGAGCGAGATTGCTGGATCGTATGGTACTTCTATTTCAAGCTTTTTAAGGAAGTGCCAAATTGATTTCCAAAGTGCTTGTACCATTTTACATTCCCACCAAGAGTGTATAAGTGTTCCAGTCTCTCCACAACCTCTCCAGCTTTATTATTTTCTATTTTTTTTATTAATGGTAACCTTGTCGAAGTGAGACAATATCTCACTGTACTTTTGATCTGCATTTCTCTACTGGCTAATGATCGTGAGCATTTCTTCATGTGTCTGTTAGCGAACTGAACATCTTCTTTGACTAAGTGCCTGTTCATATCATTTGCTCGTTTTTATTTGGGTTATTTGTCTTTTTCTGGTGGAGATTTTGCAGTATCTTGTAGATTTTAGAGATTAGACACTGATCGTATTTATCGTAGCCAAAATTTTTTTCCCAGTCTGTAGACTGTCTTTTTACTCAAGCCATTTTATTTATTTATTTATTTTTATTGTACGTCAGATGAAGGCTTACAGAACAAATAGTTTCTCATGAAACAG